CCACATTTGAAGATATGGAGATAAGCATCAGATATGACGGAAAAATATTACTTGTAACTATTGGTAAGCTTTCAAGCTTCAAAAACCACCCTAAGCAGCCAAATTTCAAAGTTTATAAAAATGCGCCTCACTACGTTATTGCTTGATGGCGTCATGAAGTGGTTTTGTGACGACAGCAGTACCTGGTAGAATCTGGCAGCCAGACCTAAAGAATACCTCGAAACGCACGAAAGCTGACGCCAACCAGCCAACATTCCCGTCGCGGGCGCTGTGCTGGGAGGCGGATAAGTGAAAAGCTTGTTTGTGGATTCTTTGTCTCGGTACTGGTCGTAAGAGGTTTGGTGGACTGGTTGACGTACACAACGTAGCCATTGCCAGCTTTTAGGGCAGATTATTAATATCAAAGCACGATATTCTGTGAAGACTGTCATGAATCTCTTACCGAAACTTACCAAGGACTGTTGGAGATGTGAATACTGTGTTGTTGACTCATCCTTGCCTGCAGTGCTGTAGTGCTGACATTGATATCATGCGATGCGCTCAGTAGTTACTTTTATTATTTGTAGCCTGAATTGCAGTGGCATCCAAAAATTAATAGATCCGTACCATTGCTATGAACTGATTGCCAAAACATTTTTATTTCTATGGTAAAGACAGTACGGTTGAATAACAAAGTGTTTTTTTTTTTGCTTAGGGTTATTTATGCAATTACTAGTGAACCTCGATGTAACCGTTGTGGTGCAACAGCATTCTCACGGTTAATAGTCCTTTGGCGTTGTTAATTCAGTTGTTACCAGTCATTCATAAATCAGAAGCTGTTATCTCATGGGCTTGACATAGAGTAGTCAACCAATGTGATACCTTGTGTAATGGTGCGGGTCGACAGTGTAATCGTGGCACTACCCCAGTGCTGTACTGAGGCGTGACATAATGAACAATGATATGGTTGTACTACAATCCCTGCTGCTTTCATAATAAATTTCACCATGGAAAGATGGGTCAAGCGTGCAAACTGGTAACTCCGCATATGACATATGACTGACCAAAAACACATGATATAACATAAAATCACTTCTAGCTAGTACACAACCAACAAGTGACATGTTCTTGCCCAGCCTCTTTTAGAAATCCACAAAACATGGGTGACAAAGACTAAAACACGTCTTCTGTTTCCACAGCCATGTAGCATGCTGCAGCCATCAGGCTGCTTCACTCAAAGATGTTGTTCACGCAAGTAATAACACATGTGTAACAAGAAAATATTACATATGAAATTACACTGGCAAACCTGCTGACCTAGCATTACTCTGGAGACGTGAGAAGTGCCTGCAGTTATGGTAAGATCAGCGAAATGCAAGGAAGTGGTGAAGCTGCTGATGCACACAAGGCTCATGATAAAAAGTATTGTTAAGTGTTATCGAAGAAACCAACAGTAATGCTTCTCCACTTCTCTCAGCACCCAGCATCTCACGAGTTGCAGTGACTATGACATTGATGCCTCACAAGCAATGCTTGCCCGCATACAAAATTCAGAATTCTTAAGAGGAATGCAATTTTACAAAACTGCATCATATGAGCTCATACCAAACATGTGCGTTAGTGAGTTACGCAGACCAGCCCTTACTGCCGAAATGAAGTGCTAATATAGCGACATGATATAGTGACATGCATTGGATTAATTGCATGCTGCAATGCTTCAGTGGGTTCAAATGTTGGCAAGATCATGATAAATATCAAATTGCCTTTGCACACCCTACAAAATAGTGCCAGTGTTTCTTTCGGTTTATGAGCATCACCACCTTGTCCTGTTCAAGCACGAACATAAAGATAGGGGCAGGTATTGATATATCACATGTCATTGGAAGTCAGTAGACTTGAAGAATACCAAAACAATGCTCTCTCTCAGAAGTACAAACCCTGCACGCACACTCCCCATCACATTATGATCAACACAAGCCACTGGCAAGCACCACCAGTGGTCACACCCACTTCAAGCACCTGGTTCACACTTTTTGTAAAATAAGTGTGATTCCACACTTGCACAGCTCGCGAGACCATCAAATTGGAGGTTTTCTCACAATTTCCGCACAGGTTTCCGGTCATGACACCACATTTTACCGTGAGCTCCCTTCCAAACAGTCCCAACGAGGGTTCATGGTAATGCATATCAAGAGGGTGTGCTTGGAGGACACAATTTTTTCGTTCAAGATTTAAATTTGTCGTGCAATAGGTGTTAAATATTCATGTTTGATATGCAATTTTAGCTAGATATTTATATATACATTCAGGTGTTTAATATCATGCATATATAAAATTACTGTAATGTTTCCCAAATTTTATAACGCCCAGCTAACCCATGAACTTGTGCAAGATTCTTTGCTACGGTGCACGCGGCGCCAACCGAGCTGTCCGTAAGAAACACGTGAGAAGAAGAAGGAAAACGCCAACAGGAGAAAAAGACAGTTGCCGTTGCGTCTTCTTTTCAAAACAATCGGGAAAGCGCCATTCTTTTTTTAGGTGTCGTATTTCTTACATACGGTGACTTTCTTCTTTAATAGCTTTGGCCCGTGGCCTAGATATAAGGAAAAACGCCCCGTTGGCGAGGAGTGCCGCACAACCCGAAAGTGCTAACGCTTACGTTTGCGATGCGCATTCAGCAGCGAAATATCACTAACAGCCAATCACCTTCCGCGAATTGCATCATATGTGCCACATCTCCGCTTTTGTGAATGTATCAGCGGCCATGCTGTTTTTGACCATAAGCAGAAAACGGCTTGTAATATCACGATGATCGTATGACGTTCCTGTGACATCATCATTGCGGAAGTGGCTTTGAAATAGTCCCCAAATAAGCCTTTTTCAGTTCGAAACCCCATATAAAGGTGGAACATTTTCTTTAACGCATTTTCCATCAGAGTGCATGCTTTTCACATAAAACGTAACTCATTTGTGTTCATGACAAGCCACTAAAAAATATTTCTGAAGCACCCTGCAGAGTCCGAAAGCACACGGAACCGTTAAAGTATGTGTGTTGAGCTTATTGCCACTCATCAGATAATCTAGGGAGTGGAGGAGAACCTGGTTAGCCAGCCAGTATACCCCGATTGAGATGAAAAACGTACCGCTTGAGGGCGGACGGATCAAAGGACTTGTATCAGATGAGGTCGAGGTGCGAGGCCTATCTAAATCCGCTGTCCGACGAGGTGCGTGGAGAAAACGGCAAAATAGATATGACATGCTAAGCGTCCATGCAACATGGGTGAGCCGTCGCGATAACAGATTGCGTGGCATGCGTTAAGTCCGCTGTTTAACTCCACGTTTTGTTTAAGCCATGGTGGTCGCTGAACGAGCTGCGGGTTGAATGGGCATGCGGTCTGCAGTAATCGATGGCTCGAATTGGACGGCACTCAGCAGCGAGGATTTCATACTGGAAGATTGTTGTCCATTATCTGGCGTCATTGGGGCTTCACGACACACTCAGCCTCTGAGACCATGTAGCATCGCCTGCCATATCATCTGCCGGTTGCCTATTTTCATTCGTTCCAATGATTCGCAATGCTGCTCCTAAGCAATGTTTAACGCATCATTTAACTCCCGGTGAAGCCGTCATATGTTCGCTGCTGCCAACGCCAAAGTCTGACAAAGAGCCCACAATGTTCTTTGCTAACTGAAGCTAACGGAGACTGCAACGCTTAAGATCGAAAAGCTGTGTAAGTAATGAGGGTGCGCACGGTAAAACATCAACGCAGTGTATTTTTTTGTGTAACGATATTCGTCCTCTGCAACAAGAAACCGTTGCTTCTGTTGGTTGGAGCTTTCGCCATTTTGTAAGGGATCCGGTGGTCATTTGGTCATTCAGTCATTTACTCGATCCCTACAGTTTCCCTGACGAAACTCTAAACCACACATCGGGCTCAACCTACTGGATAAACACCCAAACGTGTTCCACTAAAATCCATAAAATAAGTCATTATTCCTCATTTCCCTGCTCTCTTTGTGGTGGAATGCTGCAATCGTTATTATGCACGGAAGAAATTAAACATTTTCCAGATTCTACCAAATCAATCATTTTTACTGTGGTTTAACACCGGCAGCCCATTATGTGTGGAGAAACGTGCACATTTTCCCCCAAATTGTTCCGCATTATGCCACGCAGTGTAAAATCACAAGGCCATAATATCAGATCACAAATGCAAAGTCAAATGTGCAACCGATTTACAGGCGCTATGTGTGTTTATCGACGGATTTCTGCAATTCCAATCGTTTTGGAATAAGGTAAGTGCCACCACTCAGTGACACGCCAGAAACACCTAAAGCCGCACCTTTGTCGCTGCGGTTGTTATGGAGTTGACTATTGCACGTCCAGATTCAGGTCATCATGTTACCACGAACGGATTTTTACCGAATCTGATCGACAAAGTTTGTTGATGCCGGTCGATCTGACGGGAAACTCTCTGGGAGCTAGATCTGAATCCATAGATTTAGGATTCATCCATCGATTAGGCAATACTAGTTATGGAAAGCACCAAGTAGCATGGATTTTCTTTGAATTGGATCGAAAAAGTGTCCAGTTCGGATGGTTTAGAACGAAATGAAGTGCCTGATATGAATTAAAGGAGCAAATGTGCACATGCCTTCTATTTTTGACGCATTGCGATAAACTACACCGAGAGGAATTGGTTTAGACGAATGATGTCGAAAGTTGTTTGCTAGATTCATTAAGTTTAAAGTAGGAAAACCAAATTGGACTGCAACAGCAAACTTCAGCATACGAGCAGTAACAGGAGCTTTCTGTAATCTGAATATAATGTTTTAGACGCTGTCCATTTTTTTATTAGAGGTACATGAATAAGCACACCATGTTCTGGGATGTGTAGACATGTTTTCATTTTTGAGGTTGTTGATTTCGCTTAATCAATTTTGTGAACGTTCATTTTCCTGCTTTTGTTTCCGCGTAAACTTGTTTATTTTATGATATCCCTCACGCGTCCCGGTACATATAATTGTTCAAAGACCTCCCATTCTAATCCTCTCCAAAAATTATTTTTATGACGCTCTAATTTCCCGAGTATGTATTTGTAGTCGCGTAACTTAGCCATACATTTACTTTAAAAGCTTTTACTATGAACGGCATTACGATCTTAGTGACTTGTGTGATTCTCCTAACAAATTCTCCAGAAGCTGTTTGTAGCGTGGATGATGGTAGGAAGTAAGTATTATATTTTTGTGTACTTTATTAACGATTTGAGTCAGAATGGAGGCTGATGCAACTGCAATGCATTCTTTAGGGTTTAAGAAGTTGCGAAACTGCAGCCTATACGTCTTTTCCATTAACTAAATGTATAGGCATATTCGTGCTTGCAAATAAAGGAGACCACTGCTCAACTCATGTCATTTGTGATTACGAATGTTGTTGCTTCATCTTGCCAGCGACAAAACAACAGCGGCATGTTGGTTATCTGTGGTTATGTTATCTATTATGTGGTTATTATCTATTGGTTATCCATCTGTGGTGTTTTGTGCATCCGCTTTCTGTGCTGTGATGTGGGTGTAGGTGCATATGCTACGTTGCATACTTTGTATGCAAGCAACACCAACTCTCGCAAGTTTACGTGGCGTACCATCATTATCTCCCAAAGTAGCGGGGGAATAGCTGAGGGAATGCTACCTCCTGTGACAACCCGTGTACATGCCATGGCTGATGCATCCTGATGCCGTCATAAATTCAAACGTGATGTTTTAAAGGCCAAAAGACGTCCATTGCGTTTTCCATAGCTGTTAGCATAGTAAAACTGGTACAAGTAAGAATTATGACCTGACTTAAAAGTTGACTTGCTTAATTACCTGTACGTTAAATGGTAACATGCCAATCATTTGGGTATGAGGCGAAAACAATTTGAGCATCGATTTGAAGGCATGACCCGATGAAAACTCAAAATATTATCCAGTTGGCTGCTGCCTTTGGAATTGACACAGGACTGACGATGTTCAGGAGCGCGATAACATGTAGTGCAAAAAAGCATGTTGCAGGACGGCGGAAGCGGGTTTTCCATGTGTTTTCGTACCGACCTTTGAGAGGCCGAGGCCATAACCTGGTGACCTGAGGTAATGAGTATCTGAAGATTTCAGAGTTGATTTCGAAGCTCTTGCACTCAGGCAACATTCCTTTACAGCTCATGAAATGACCCTATGTAAATGTTTGCGAAAGCAAAGACAAATGCTAAACGTAGATCCAACGCTGGCAGGCGTTATTTTTGTGCAATAGAGTTTTAGAGAGGCTTCAAATACGTAAGTGGTTGTTTCTGTTATTGGGCTACACGACATACTCAGACGCTAAGGTTTTATGTATATGGCGTCTCTCTCTCTCTCTCTCTCTCTCTCTCTCTCTCTCTCTCTCTCTCTCTCTCTCTCTCTCTCTCTCTCTCTCTCTCTCTCTCTCTCTCTCTCTCTCTCTCTTCTCTCTTCTCTCTCTCTCTCTCTCTTCACGGGAAGAGCGAGCACCGCGATCAATCTAACCCGTACCTCAGACGAGCAGCTTCTCTGCTTAACTGTTGTGACCCAATATGCCAGCCGAGCAAGGCAGTAGCTGAACAACACAATGCAAAGCCATCCTCAGATCACGATTTATGTACCTTAACATGTATCGGAATCATTGATGACCTCTTTACAGATTCGACACGCTGGTGAGGACCCTAGACCTTCAGTCAAACGAAACTGCCAATGCTACCGAGTCGTCCAACTCGACGCTCTACCCTCCACCTACCACCATTCGACCGATGGCCGGCTTCACAGCCGAGGGGGCCTCGACGGGCAAGCCCTTCTACCCAGTCGAGTCCACGGCACCGCCGGGGGGCTCCGCCATGACGGGCGCCGCCAGCACCGAGCCTATGATCATCGTTGGCAGCATCATGCTGGTCGCCTGCATCGGCGGCGGCATATACTTGTGGCACCTGCGAAAGGTGAAGAAGGACGCAATGCCACCGGAGAGCGAGGCGGCGCCGGCGGAGGGCGCCGAGGACGAGAACTCTCCGGAAGAGGCGGAGGTGGAGCCGGAGGGCGAATAGCTCCGAGGCCAGCGCCGCTGACGAGCTTGAGCCGGCGGGATAGACGGACAATGTCGACACGGTCTCTGCACCCGCGCGTGAGATCACCACCGGCTGCTGCCCAGTCAGCCGGCAGCCGGGTCGTGTGGGACTGACGTGTCGGCGTGAAGAGGGCGGTCTTGATTCAACAGTGCGACCTCATGTTGGTGATTTATTTTTTACTGAAAAATCGTCGCACTTATGAAATGGACTGTACGGAGCTGCATCTGCAACGAAATAATACTGACCACAGCACACACGATCGAGAACAAAACAATGCCGTGTGTCGACACAATTGAGAATCACACACAAGTTATTACCAGACAACACGCATTACTTAAATCAAGAATGAGCTGACAGCATGAGATTCGTGTTCGCATTGCTGTACCTCGCAGCATGTCTCAACATGCGCACATCTCGGTACTCGAAAAACTCATTCCACATTGACTCGTTTGCGGAAATGGTCAAGCGTTGTTATCCCCTGTGAATGCAGCATCCGCATCACAGCTCGCATCAGCACGGACAAATCTCATAACACTTGTCGCACACATCACCGGGTGACCAGACGACGTCGTAACACAGTCGACTGAAGGCTGCGAATGACCTGCGCCTTGCTATATCAACCTCGTAAAACCAGTGTGATGTCATTTGGCGCCATATTGCACTCTTATCGACGCGACTGTAGAATAATCAGTATGATAAAATACTGCATGCATTGGCACTCACGTATATCATGGAGAATAAGTTCTAGTAAAGGATTTCAAGTTTACCCGATAATTACTTTTATTCTCTAGACCACTTCATGCTGTCCTAGTAATGCCATGTAGCAGGCGAGTTCCACGTTCAGGCCTCAGAGAAACCCCCGGCGATCCACGCACGAGTTTTGAACTGCAGCATCGCTCCATAGTTCACACAGGCCACACAGCGCCATCTACAACGCCACCGACTCCACCACTTGACTGGGATTGGAGCCGCTGGCGCGCCCCTTGGTGGCGGGCGAGCTGTCGCGACTGGAGTCACCATTGACGCCTTGAAGCAGGGGTCTGTGCTGGGCGCGACTGTTGTTGAACGAGGCGCCGGCCGTGTCCGACATGGTGGTGACCAGCTCGCGCTTGCGGAGCGGCCGACGCCGCGAGCTCGAGCTCTCGCGCAGGCTGGCGTTGCGACCGAGGCGACACCTTTCGGCCTGGCCGGCCACATGCACGGCGTCCATGCTGGCCATGCGGCCGACGGTGGAGCGTGCTGGCCGACCACCCTCCAGTCGACCGAGCAGCTCCAGTTCGGAGAAGGTGAGATCCGGCACCAGACTGCGCCGCTGCTGTCGCTCTGACCGGTCCATCTCGGCCACCAGCATCTGTACCTGCGGAGTCATCACAGCGCTTGCGACCGCCGGTGTGGCAGCTTTCCAGCAGTGCAGGGAACAAACCTCCCTTTACGGTTAATTCTTTCTATACGTCACAACGTTAACCTTTTACGAGATGTACGTGAGACATGGAACATGCGCACCCATGTTCTTTCGACTATGCCAGCGACGGGTGGTCATCGCCAACCGGTGGTATCGCCGGCTGCCCTAGTATTGGTAAGCGCCACCAGCCCAGCAGCGCCACCAGCAGATAGTGCTAATAACCACTAGCACCACCTAACTGTACCACCGACCATTAATGCTACCATATGAACGTGTCAATGACCAGAAGCGCTATCACACGACTGCACCACTGACCAGTAGCGCCACCACCTGACGGTACCACTGACCACTAGAGCCGCCACATGGCTACCACTGGCCGGTACCGCCACCGCCAGTATGTACCACTGACCAGCAGCATCACCACGTCACCGCACCACCGACCAGAAGCGCCAACACTTCACTTTTCCACTGCCCAGTGGCATCGACACATGAATTACCACTGACAAGTAGTGCCACCACATGACTACCACTGGCCAGTAGCGCCACCACATGCGGTGGTGGCGCTGTACCGCTGACCAGTAGCGCAGCCTCACGGGAGCAACATTAGGCTGAACAGCCAGGTCAACGGTAAAGACATTGCAGCAGCGCTAGAGCCAGCCGGTAGAGTTTATTAGGTAGCATCCAGAGTTTGAGAGAACAAAGAACAAAGAAGGAAAATGTGCATTTACATTGCAGCCAAACCCGCCTGTCTTAACTGATTGTCACTAGCTCATATACAACCCTGACAATATTTGACTAATTAATGGACGATGAAGCGCGCCGTTGGCTTTTCTCCCTCCGCTTAGTCCGAAATGCACTGGGCTTTCCAGATTCTGGCAGCGCTACAATGTGTTATAACCCCAGTTGTTCTCAGCATGTGATCAGATGGCCCTACCAACCACGCAAGAGAAGATTGCGGATAACATTACACCTAGAAAACTACGCACGCCTTATGGTTGTTGGGATAAAGTAAGTAGGGAATAAATTTCGCAAAGGAAAAAGTTCGTAATGCCAAGAGCACGTATGGATAAACATGATATGACAGAACATCCGTCAGGAAGAAATTTGGTAACACACATTTTCGCACGAGTAAAAGTTTGTATAAAAAAGTTACAAGCAGTTGCTGGCAGCCAAACGCTTCGGGCGCAAAATGTGAATGCTAGTCAAGAATATCCCTCGTTTCACACACAAAAATATTATCAAAGGTTCGCATTTCAATATCTGATGGTAGAACATGAAGTTTGTACGAAAATGCTCGTCAGGGATGGAGTTTGTTTGACGATAGCACGCACGCAAAACTACACAAAACTGATGAGGGCTGAACGTTGAAGTGAACATATTTATTCCTGGTGTCAGGTGCTGGATGGATGATCACCGTGGAGGCCACCGTATCCCGTTTACTAGGGAAAGGTGGTAGGCGATGACGGTGGAAGGTGACAAGGGTGTGGGTCTGGTCAGGTATTATGACTGACCCAACTCTTCATGACATGAATTTTACGCTCCGAGACGACCAGTAAAAAAGCTAGAATCAATTGGCGTTGTGCAATATGATGCTGGGATTGAGGGCAATGTAGGTTAAGAAAACACACATGAAACATGCCCACTGCAGATCACCCACCCAGTTTGTTGTGCCCCTTCATTATCATTCACCCTGACGATGTCTCTATCAACGACGTCACCTGACACCTCCTGAGCGCACCACTAACGCTAGCTGACGGGTGCAACGGGTCAGCCCGCCTGCTGAGTACGACGGGCAGCGCGCCACGGACACCCGATATACGATTGCTTACATCAAGCAAATCGGACTTCAGAGTCACAATGATGCATCAGTTGCACCCGATTTGATGCATCGTCATTGATTAGGTCACTGTCTGCACCCGACACAACATTGTCCAGGAGCATCATTTATAAACCGCGCGCCGGATATAGCAGATATTACTCACTCGACATAGCTTAAACCATCCCAGGGAACCAAACTTCGGCGAAATTTAAGAGCCGTCGCTGCATAATGTGGTACCCTGGTGATCAGTCTGTACTGGAACACACCAAATAGAAGTATCGCTCACAATCCCAACTTCATTTTTCTCCATGCATCGCCTAGGCTTTATGTTCATCCTCGGAAAGTGGAGTGTACCCACGGCCACTGCCCACATGCCTACGCTGCTCAGAAACCTTTGCGTACGTATTTTCCTCAAACCACCTGTCCCCACTCTGCACATTTACGTACGTCTCATTGCTTACAAACGTTGTGTACGTTTTTGTGCATACGACATTTGTACAAAGAACATTTGTCCTGACGAACTTCAGTGGAAACGAACATTTTTCATACGTACTTGACATCATACGAGCGTTCACATACACATTTTTGCGAAGTTCTTTTGCCACACGAACTTTATCCCTTATGTGCATTTATTTATTGACACTTTCGTACATACTTAACGCATACGCACTATTTCTACGCAAACGTTTGTCCTGGAACCCACAATAGCAGTTTTCTTCTTGTAAACCCTGACGGCCATTTACTGAACTAACCTCCCAGTCGTTAGGCTGTCCGCCGGCAGAGGCGCTGGCGTCGGACGCAGCCTGATCGGAGTCGGACAAACCGACATCCACGACCGTGTGGTCCCGACTGCGGTTCATGAACTCCAGCTTCCACAGCTCGTCCGGCTGCATGTCCTCCTAGAACACGAGCGTGTGGCTGTATATCTGCGGCAGGGCCAGATCAACCCTTCTTTCTGTGCTCTTCTCGCACTCCCTCATTTCAAAGTCCGGACAGACATCACACCAGCACGCCCCCATGCTTGCCAGGAACAGGAGGGAAAGAAGCTTCATTGTATGAGGCCCATGGCAATGGAATAGCCTTTTGTTAAGTCGATAGAACAATGGAGTTCAAGTGCTTCTTTGGACGTCATAAGATGATGTCTGCTTCTGCGTAGATTCAAAGCAGCAGGGTGCAAAGCATACTGTAAACACCGCGTTCGTGTTGTCTCGGGTGCGTTTATTAATGAATAGTGGCACCAATCCATGAACGGATAGCCAAAAACTCATTATGGCAATCCCTAACCGAATAATGAAGATTTCTTCATGTCGATCACTGACAAGATGGTCAAGAATTGGTCATGACAATCCCTGACGAGATTCCTAGGATTTCTATTCTTTTTCTTTTAGTTAGTTTAGTTTAGTGGTTTAGTTTAGAAATTTAGTTTTGACTAGGATTTCTAGGGAATCCTATCCAATGACTGATGGTGTCATTCTCTGCCCGGATAATCAAGAACTGATCTTGTCGATTCCTGACCGGATAACCGTGTCAATCAATGAAACGGATAATTGGAACTAGATACGATCTCTGAGAAAAAGAGCATACGGGAGGTTTTGTTTTACTGTGTTGTATCCATCTAAAAACACACTAGTAAATTAATATCTTTGAATGATGTGGAAGGAGAGCGACATGAAGTATGCCACACACAATAAAACTATGACAAAAAGAATGCGCCAATCACTTCTAGCCGTAGCTGATTAGACAAGATAACCAATAATTTAGGTAACATATCGGAACATTAACCAGGACCTATAACGAGGCTGTAGTGTGCAGCCATTCACGCAACATTATTGCATTTCACAATACAAGCTATGTAATGGAAAGCTTACGCATTCAGGTGAACCATAATTGACACCTAACAGAACATATTTAAATTTTATTTGTATTCATATTGAGCCGTGCCCAAGCATGCCTTTCACCACTCTCATCTGAGACAATTCCTTGAACAGCTGGGCGCCAGACCCCGGTACATGTCCGAGCGCCATCGCGATGGCGCCCGAGTATCACGCCGGTGCTATAGCGATGGAGCCGATGCAGCGGCACAAATGCGTCAGAGACTGGTTTCGTGGACATTGGCAGGATTATTTGACGGCCATTGTTTCCTGCTGGGGAATATTGTTTACGCGGGTGGATGGATAGGATGCGTGCGGCTTTTTTCGTTTTCCAACTCATATCGAATTTGAAAATCATGAGGAAAATAAAAGCCAACTTACTGGAGAGTGCACATGTAATCCCCATTAGAGCCCACAAACATTGTGGGGGGGGGGGGGGGGGTAGGTAGTAGAAATGGAGATGGTGTGGGCGTAGGAATGTATGAAGTAAGCATGAGGAACGTAGCAAGTAAAAGTATGTTCCGGCACCCAACAAAAGGATACTTCGTGAACATTTGCACATAATATTGCAATTGTTTTCTTCAGATTGATTTTACATCCATCTGGATGAAATGGCAACATTGGCTGATTTCCAACAGAAATACCTTGTGGAATTTTTAAGAGCGCATCGCCGCATGCTTTGAGGAGGATGCACAAGTAACATTCTTCGCCAAACGTTACGCTGTTTTGGATTATTCTTTAAACTCAGCGTGTATTAGCGGCAAGCCATCTTCCAAAAACATGACGGGATTGTCCCATGGCCCCTGATAAACGTTGACTGTGGGGGGGGGGGGGGGTACTTGCTAGTCAAAGAAAATGTTTTACCAAGCAGAGGATGTTCTGTAATCTAAGGTCATGAACTTACACAATTCTTTCCGGCAACGATATGGGCGAGTTGCGAACTATCCTTGAAACTTAAAATCGGGCGATGCGCACAACGACGTCACACCTTCATAGCGGAAGAAACGCAAAAGCGCACGTCACGCCTCACGCATTCCATGTGACCCATGACCTCTTCAGGCCGATGCATCGAGAAGAACCGCGAGTCCGACGTATCCTTACCAGCTTGGCTAGATATAAGTGAAGCACAATAATAAATAACAATAATAAATGCAAACTTGCCAACCTGCATGCGCAACTAGGGAATAGCGTCGTATTTGCAGCCACCTCATGCCTACGAAATGCAATAGGGCTGATACTGGGAGCACGCTGTGCCACCAATCGGGATCTTTTAGTGGGTTCAGCGAACATTTGAGCCTACGGTCTCACACCAGACTCTACGAGTCAGGATCGATCAAAGCAAGGGTCATGGAGCTAGGGTGGACAGTGAACATAAGATCTGCCGTAAAAAGGTACATATTTTCCAACAGTACAATTTGGAGGGAGCATGACACATCTGAGTCTGGTCACGATCGGCATTGCCAGCTATTACGTACCATACTATTAATCATTTAGATCGCAATAAAACCAAGAACCATGCTGATTGCCAAGTCAGGCGCATTACTGCTATGCTTTCCTAAACATACCGGAAAATACCACAAGATCAAAAATGTATCAGAGATTATGTGACAAGCACTCGGAAGACAGATTTGGTCGCCTTATCGGCAGCAGAAGGTCCGTTACAAATGAAATCCGTATATATTGCGCGGGTCCATTAAGACTCGAAGCAACATAATGTTGACAATTGTCCCGCTGCAGCTGACTTCGAAACGGCCCATGCCACGACACAAGACCACGCCAAACATGTTACAACATCATCGCAATCCCGTGTGCAGCCAACAATAGCTGCATCAGCCGAAAAATGAAACGATGCGAACACCCGAACACAACTACTCAAGGCGATCACATACTCTTCCACAACGGCTGCGACTTGCGAGCGGTCGACCGTGTCTCCTCGCGACACCTGTGCCCAACGCCTCCACATCACCAGCGGGGCGTAAACAGCACAACACGGCAGGCGCGAGCAAGCAGATGCCTCAATACAGAGGTGGCACGAGCGAGGGTCACGCCGCCGCCGCCGCCACTGCCGCCGCCGCCGCCTGCTCCCGTGCGCTCACCACGATACTGGTGCGGCAGTGCCACGACTGGCGGGCCGGCGCGGACCCGGTGTCGGCCGCCTCCTGCTCGTAAGGCCACGACTTCTGCCGCGGCCGACACGGGTCAAGCCGCGGCACGACCGAGTCCACCGAGTCCGACCTCTGGCAGACACAGGACCGCGGCACGCGCTGTGAAGTCTGGCAGACACAGGACCGCGGCACGCGCTGTGAACTCTGGCAGACACGGGACCGCCGTACGCGCTGTGGCAGACACAGGACCACGGCACGCGCTATGAACTCTGGGAGACACAGGACCGCGGCACGAGCTGTGAACTCTGGCAGACACGGGACGGCCGCACGCACTGTGAACTCTGGCAGACACGGGACCGCAGTACCCGCTGTGAACACTGGCAGACACAGGACCGCGGCACGTGCTGTAAACTCTGGCAGACACAAAACCGCGGCACGCGCAGTGAACTCTGGCAGACACGTGACCGCGGCATGCGCTGTGAACTCAGGCAGACACGTGGCCGCGGCGTGCGCTGTGAACTCTGGCAGACACGTGACCGCGGCATGCGCTGTGAACTCAGGCAGACACAGCACCACGGCACGCACTGTTAGCTCTGGCAGACGCAGGACCGCGGCACGCGCTGTGTAGTTAAAACTGTTCTTAAAACTGGACTGCTTCTGTAATTGGTCTTTCGCCTGTGGAATGCTTATGACATAAATCAACAAATAAACAATAAACTCTGGTGGACACGTGACCGTGGAACACGTTGTGAACTTCAGGAGACGCAGGACCGCGGCACGCGCTGTGAACCCTGGCAGACACGAGACCGCGGCACGCGCTGTGAACCCTGGCAGACACAAGACCGCGGCACGCGCTGTGAACCCTGGCAGACACGAGACCGCGGCACGCGCTGTGAACCCCGGCAGACACAAGACCGCGGCACGCGCTGTGAACCCTGGCAGACACAAGACCGCGGAACGCGCTGTGAACCCTGGCAGACACGAGACCGCGGAACGCGCACTGATTTCTGGCAGACGCAGAACCGCGAAACACGATGTGAGCTCTGGCAGACGCAGGACCACGGCATGCGCTATAAAGTCTGGCAGAGTTTAGAACGCATCTCACTAGCGCGCTTGTCACCTCTGACAGGGATGGGACGGTGATGAGCGCTGTAACATCTAGCAGGCAAGGCATGGTGACACGCTCCGTGACCTCTGACAAACAAAGGACCGCGACATACGCTGAGACATCCACTAGCCACAGGATGAGACACACCCTGACATCTGACACAAGTGGCACGGTGACCGGAACGGCGGAGCGGGCAGCCATATCTTCCAGAACCGATGCTGTGACACGCGGCGTGCTCTGTGACCCCTGCCAGCGCTGGTCAGTGCCACACTATCTGGTATCTGGCCCACGCACGACGATAACATTCCCTGCGACCTTAGGCAGACAACGCCACGAGACGTTGGCACTTTCTGTAATCTCTGGCAGGCACCAGACAGCAATATTGTCTATGCCCCCCCCCCCCCCCCGAGGAGGTACACGAGCAATCACCGCCGACGACATACGTTTATCTCAGCCTGCCTGTTCGGAGCTATATGGCCGTTCACAGCCGCCTGGCGCGTCCGGGCTATTGTCCGTAGGGCTGAAAAACTGTCTCTCGAGTTGGGAGCAAATAGGGTTTTGTCACCCTCCACAGCATTGCCCGTAAAATACCCGTTTCCTGGGTATTGCCTGTAAAAATAAAACATCCCACCCTGATCCTGAGGTAGCACTTCTTCATCCCAACCTCTGAGAGGCTGATAGCCCCATGAGCAGCGCACCAACCTTACAACATAAACCCAACACGGCGCAAAGGTTTGCACCGCGCCCCACGTAGCCTTATCCGTTGCGCAAATGACATCTGCTGCAGCGGTCTGGCAATAGCCCCATGTGGCCCAGACCGCCCGTTGGGCAGCCATCGGCGGCCATCTGGCTCGAGCCGCGGCGGCCGGCAGATGCTCTCTGGTCCGCCTGCCACCCCAATAAACCGGCGTCCGACGAGCGTCGAGGCTCGGCCGACAACAGCTCCTCACGATTTATGGCAGCGACGGCCGGAGCCCTGCGGCGGAGCCGGCGGGCGTCCGGCCGGCGCCCGCCGTCAGACGGCGACCCACCCGGCTCAAGCGGCCGCCCGGGCCCTCCGGTCACAGCCGACCGCCGGCCAGGGGGCGGCGCAGAGGTCCCGCTGGACGGGGGACTATGACCGCTCTGAGCCGCGCGAGGCGGGGGCCGGTCTGAGATGGCGCCGGCGCGGCAGCTCCTCCGGGCTCGACAGCCGCACTGCCGCCGAGTTCTCACCGTGAAGCAGGTCTGGTCACTGGTGCTGTCTGGCGAGGACGCTGTCTCGCTGGAGGCGGGCGTCAGCTCCTGCCGGAGGACCCTGCACGTGAGCGCCACTCGCCCGAACTACGTAGGGACTATGCGAAGGCGTTCTCAGTGATGCTTCCGAAACCACCACTAGCTAGTTTAATCACCGGCTTCCGTCTTTGAAGCGCTGTTGAATAAGGCGCAGAATCAAGTGGCGCCAGATTTTTCTTCGGGCGGAAGGGGGGGGGGGGGGAAGGGGTTTGCCATCAAAGTATGTGTCGGCTAATTGACATTCCGCCGTCGTCCAGGGGTTTCCGCGGCCCAGCCACCACCGTATTTATGCTGCTTAAGTAAATATGGCGCCGGGGTCGGTGGGAGTGCATCACATTCACCAGAGAATTTCTTTTACATCCTCATCCGCTTCCGTGGCTTTCGTGGAAACGCCGTGAATACCAAGCGACTATCAAGACGCGTCAGCGTCGGGCACGGGGGTCACACCGTCGCCGGGATGAAGTCACAGCTGGTGTTGAAAGCACACTTGAAAAGAGTCGCGGATCATGCCGCGCTGAGACTTATAGTGGCGACTTACTCAGCTTCCGCAAACGCCTGGGCGCAAAAACGAAAAATGCAGCTGGCCAAGCGAACATCAAATGATGAAATTATGGGAGGAAATTACGTGATGTTACTAGCCCCCTATTGTTGTTACCGTTACCCAGCCTGTACCGACACACACAACTGTGTTTATGAGGGAGAACGCGGGTCAAATGAGTCGGATCCGTTGATTTCGGAGCGTTTTTAAAGACTGATTTCAGATCTCGGCGACTAAAGTAGACGAAGACGTGAAGCCAAACGCACGGTGTCAGCAAATGTACCGGCTTTATCCCACTATCGGATATGAAGGCCTGTCCGACTTCTCGCTGCGTAAGTAATCGACCAGAATCGACACTTCCACCCTTCCAGAAACTGGTTTTGAATGCGGGACGCTGGAACCAAACTGAGACCGATCTGACGAGGAGAGCTACACAGGCCCGTGACCACGTGCATTATGACCACCATCTGCCGAGAATATTGATGTGCCAAAACCACAGATGATAGCCAGTTTATCGATAACGATTGAATACTCTAACCGGACTAGCAGCCGGCCATTTGTAAAAGCGATTTTAGTTGCGATCAATGTGCAAATTCCGCTTAATTGGCCCTCCGCTAGTTAAATTCTCACCAAAGGCACACCTTCCAATTCACTAATAACATCCATTGGCATCGGTTGCCGAGAGCATGGATGGAAACGTGTTCTTCTTGTGGCTGACTGAATTTTTGCAGATAAAATTGTCGCCAGCAGCGCAGCGCAATACCACATGACAAAATGGTAATGAAGTCCATGCCCAATGACGTCATCAGAAATCAGCCTATCATCGAAAGCCTCCTTCATTACAGCAATTTGCAGTACCATGCACGCAACCAAAACGCTCAGTTATGCGTTGCCCTTTACTTTATGTTAAACTAGGTGCTGTTCTAGGAAAACAGGTATGCCGGCCTCAGACTGTGGGGATAGCCGAAATCACAACAGCAGATTTCTCCCAGCCTCGGGACTTGCCGAGGTCTCACGTTCAACACGCGCCCGGGTGGGCCGGTTGGATACCCTTCGCTCGGGGTGGGGGTCATTTTGACCGCCCGAGGTCTCAGAAACTAGGAGAGCTAGAGACACAAAATTTACAAAGTGTGTTGGGCTGTACCTGAACTCAATCAGGTCAAAGTTTAAGGTTCCTAGGTTTTGAAATTCAGGTCAAATAACGTCAAAAAATGTCAACCTCCAGATTGGTCTCCAAAGTGCCCCCAGTACCTAGACATCTGTTCTAAACAAAAGTTCACATGATCATTTAAGGTCAGTGGCCTGTTCGTTTCGTTTGACCTTTCGAAGGTCATGGTGACCAAGATCCTACAAGACTGCTTTGAGTTTTGCCTTTGAATAAGCGACAAACACTACGTTATTCACTATGTTCCGAAACAAAATGTTGACCTGGGCCATTTTAGGTCACTGTCCTATTATGAACTCTGAGACGTACATGAAAGATGCATAATGTGATTCCTGTTATCAATCAATTCGAAATGGGCCCCAGAAACTACCCCATACATCAAGCCTTAGAGTACTAAAACAGATTGACTTTGACCTTGGTCTGACCTTCAAAACTCACCTTAAGTCAATGGACTTCGCTCATCCAATTGTTGCGTTGCTTAAGGAAGTATCTCAGACATGTATGGTCTCGTCTAACACTCCGTTGGTGCATCAGATTAAACGATTCTCCAGAAATTGACTTCGCAGAATCCATGGCCTGACTTTGACCTACTGTAGGTCAGCGATCTTACAAGGTACATCCACATTTTCTAATACCAAACGATTCGCCATTTAATGTTCAACGTCTTTGCAATATTTGGCGTGGCTGCGCCACGCCGTTCGGAAGCCATTATGGAAAAACCTTGATGGAGGTCAATTTGACCCCCACCCTAGCGCATGTTCAACTCGGTCTACGGCCGAATTTACTTCGCTCGACCGCGAAAAAGCCGAAGGACTTCAACAGCCAGCGCAGCTGAATGCATGGCAGATTTCGAACCAGTGGCAAGTGACACTGGAAATAACGTCAAACATGGCGGCCTCCAAGAGGCCATGCCCTTTTATGAAAATAACGTGTGCGCTTCGAGCCCCGTTTCAGCCGTCATCAAACTCTCCACCGTACCTTAGGCATGCTCCAAGCCTGGTACGACATGTGTTGCCTAGCGGGCGCCTTTCGCTGTGCCCAAACAAGTCCATTATATTGAGATATGTTACGAACTCCACATCAGGCTGCTAGTTCGTTGTGAACAAGATACTCGCCCGGAAAGGCGGGCGAGGGGGGGGGGGGAGGCGGTGCTACTCCACAAGGTTTTCTGAGGATACCAGCCACACATATTGTGTGGCCGCGCTCAAATCTTTGGCACCCCCTGGGGCATCTATTGTGCGTGTGAACACCAAAAAATGTGTTCCTAGCGTTTCTGGTTACCGAGCAGCAATGGTTTTACGAGTTCTGCAAGACGATCCAAAACCGGTGGGGGCGGCGGGTGGCAAGGGACGATTCCGCTGATCGTGCGCGGAGAGCTGACACTGTTACGTTAACGAAGCTTTACATGATAAGCATGGGTTCAAACAGACAAAATATATACCACTGTGATGATGAATAAGCGAGGAGCACGCCTCTTTATGTTCCACGTTTTGGTGCCGCATGGTTTCGTAAATATGAATACGCAAAGCTGGAATCATTTGAATTTCAGGAGCATTTGACCTTAGATTTGGTTTAGTGGGGTCAATCAGCAGTATGATAATTTTAATAATAGCGAAACCTTGTTAAAGATAATTCTCTTTTTTCTCCGCGAGGCTGCACCCCTATCAGTTCGCAAAGGATAGGGGGTCGCTCCCCCATCAGTCCGCCTTATGAAAACCTGCGATTCAGGGTAAGAGTTGATATTATTGCGTACCATCAGTTTACGTGTCATCTACATACCATGCTTTTTACTGTACATATGCGGATATAAAAATTGTCGTTTCAGATCGTGAAAAATCGGCTGGTACAGCAGAACTAACATTTTGTTACCAACATCCAAACATTAGTAGAAATTCGACCGGCAAGCCAAAATTGACCTTCGCACGATAAGTGCCTCGCAAATCTTAGCTTACTCGTGATATTTACCATGCATAATGCAGGAGTCCTAATTTTGATTAATTTCTGGGGCCCTACCCAACACCCAAGTTGGGTCGAGTTGAGTTGAGTCAATGCTGGTTCCTCCTCCCACACAACACTTCTGGCTGGAAAATTAAAAAAAAATATATGAAAATTCCAACCATGACACAAAACCTATGTTCTCTGGGCTTTATTCATTGAGCAGGGGCCCGTGAAATGCTACCTCCCATAATCATGCAAAAATTGACATGCCTGTCCTCATGCCACCACCACACAAGCTGTATTGATTTCACGATCAATGCGGGTTGCATAAAAGGTGTGCTGTCTGCCTTCACAACCGGTGCTTAGTTTATCAAGTCATTATGCTAAGGATTCGATCAGGACAATTTTTCATTTCAGTGTTCGCAAAAACAATGATGAAATATATCACATTTCCCGCCTTGCAAATGCCATGCTCACAGTACAAGGCAGCTATTCATATGAATGAGCACTGTGGCACGACTGATTTTCAGAGATGTCCCATTTCAGTAGGGGTGCCATCATCAGTAATAGCCAACATTGTCCTCAGCGATAACGAAATATCAGTATTTCATTAAACTCCCATGACAACTGGACCAAAATACCACAAGATCTCTTGCTATTTGGAGTAAAACTCTTGGTAAAGAGAAGATGACAACGGAACCTGCACCCCAATGCCTCCTCATCGCCTACATTTGCTAAACCAGCTAACCCCTCACTTCTCACTGCCTTCTCATTGCCTACATCATTGGCTATCATGTACATTTCCAGCAACTAAGACTCATATTAACAAAAGGTTGAACTGTAAACAATTGTTTAAATGCTAACAAGACGTTGATAAAATAGTTGCATTTCAGGCAGGGGCATAGTTTTTGAAAATAAGTTAGGAGAGCATTGAAAACTTATGCGATCTATCCTCCAAGTAAGGTTGTCTCCCAGATTGGCACACTTTTTCACAAACTTAGGAGGAGGTTAGAGCCCTGAACTGAATAGGAAGCTAGAAACACCCCTGATCTGCAGATCTATGCGACTGGTAGCCATTCTCAATTAGTACAAGAACAAAAATGACATAAATTGACGCTTAAGACCATCTTTAGCTCCTGTCACTCCCTTAATGAGGCATGCCATGGGCCTTCAACATCAAACCCACGAATGTTTTCCTAGGGAGAACGGCTGGTCGCTTGTTACTGCTACAATGAGTCAGCACCCTTTTCGGTGTCTTGAGAAGACAGTGGATAATCACAGATCAATTTCTGCCGCGACCGGATCATCTCGCCATTTGGCCTGAACTGTGAATGACTCTCATCGCTGAGACAGGATGCTGAACTACAGCACGCCAACAAAGTATACGCGGCCCAAAAATTAAGCCCCAGGCAGGTATTCACGACACAGTATGCGAATGCCGCTGCAAAGTCGCGCAGCGCATGAAAGCCGGGCAATACAACACTATTGAAAGTCAGCCCACCTCATATCAGTCGCTTCGCAACGACTGAAGCATGCCCCTGCAGCCAGATGAGTCCCCATATCTAGATCTCTTCAGTATTTTGTGCTGTCTAGTTTGGACCCTGACCAAGTCGGCTGGTAAGAACAGCGACTGGCCGGCTGGCCGGGCCATAG